GTAGTACCACAACATATGCGTGTTGGCGCACAAGAGACTATGGCATAGGAAGTCATAGACTCGGTATTAAAGATAGAAACAGGATAGATGCAGTGGATACCAGACCTCTTTGGTTAACAATAGACATGTTCAATCATAGATGTGGTTCATGAAGCAAAGGCTTGACGACTAGAATCAATTGAGGCCTTTAGCCCCAAGTTAGTCTCCCAGATGGAGAGTGTGGGAAATAACGCCTCGAGTAGCACAAATGGGGTGGGTGGCAGGGTTCAAGTGAAGTACTTGAACCAGGGAGAGAGCAGACAGATCCTACGGGCAAGAGACAGACTGTGATAAGACCTATGGGAGGAGGACTGCGTAGCAATATGGCAGACTGTGATCAACATTCCCAGCACAAGGGTGAAGGGGAGTGAAGGGCTGAGAAAGTCAGCGTGGGGTATGGAGAGTTCTCATGAAATCCACTCAAAATGGAACATCTTACCACATTTGAATAGTCAAGTAAAAAATTGTGACAATGAAGGCGTGATACGAGGATATACCATTGGCGATTAGCCCAGGGCGGAAGGAGAGATACCACAACTGCTTAGCAGATAATTGGTCAAAGGATCGACTTCCCTTGACTCTTTGACGAGTTGTAATGTGGTGCTAAGTGACAAGACTCACTGACGTTGCATACTGCCGACGACACGTCTGGAAATGTACCACGTCCACGGTCCGACTCTGGAAATTATCATGTATACTATGGACTCCGGACTGGGTGTGTTCCTCCTCGTTTTCCTGTCAATATGGCCAAGTTATGCAGGGAGGGTCAAAAAGTACTATACATCGAAGAGAGACCACGACCATACAAAAGGCCGCACCATCTTGGTCTCATACTTTCTATTAAAAATACTTTTATTCAAAATGTATTTACGCTTTGAAAAACAAGCCCTAAAAGTGAGCAAAAGATAAGAAAAGACGACTAAAGGGAGGGAAGAGAGTAAAAAGACTCCGTTGAGAAGTAATAAACAGAACGATGTTGAATGAAACTTGGCTTATTGGAGCAACGGATGTCAAAGAAGCAATGAGGAATGTAAGGCAAGATGGAAGAATAAAAAGGTTCAAGTAGTGAGAGATAAAAGGACTGACTGATGAGATCCCATCAAAAGTATAATTCGTGAAAAGTGACACAACTGACTCAGTCAGCTCAGTCGGATCCATGGCCTCCGAGGCGACTCTGTGAGCCTGTTCCCATTGACCAGCGGCGGTGTACATTTCGATTGCCGCTTTGGGGCTATCTGCCTTCAAAAATGCCGCCTCGGCCTCGGAAAATCGACTAGCAGCAGCATAATGCTTTGCCAACCGGCGGTAGACTTCCGCCAACTGGCCCGTCTCTCCTGACGAAGTGCCTGCCTCTATGGTCTCCAGGAGGTGGGCGGCTTTCGTCCATTGCTGAGCCTCGACGGCGGCCAAAACTGCCTTTTGGTATTTACTGGAGTTGTTTGGCAAGACAAGGATTCACAGCAAATGGAAATGCATTAAGTGAGGAGGAGAAAAAGCAAGCTTACATACATCATATTTTTCCAATATGCACAATAAATACTATTGTACACAGGCGTAATATTATAATAGATTCTAATAATAATATCATTATTATAACATGACATGTCACATGCTACATTACTTTATTCTCAACACTAATACTAATATCTTGCGAGTCCAGCAAAGACGATGCAGAAGAGATCCACTTAATTTTTAGTTAATAAGTAGAGTTTATAGAGTAACAATAAGTGAGTTACGTGAGGTGTATTTACCCTATTTCGCCCAAGGTTATGAAGGACTGGTAGTTGAATTTTTCCCACAATGATATGAGTAAAGATGACGCTTCCACTGAACTTCACATAGTCTTGCTTTCCCAAAAGTTGTTCTCATCCAGGCGAAAGTGGACTGCAGGTTCGACTCCGTCTAGGTCTTAGCAACAGCCCCAGCGGGACTCGAATTAGGATAGTGCATCAAAAATAAGTGATGTAGTCGATTGTCAT